AAAAAAAAAAAAAAAAAAAAAAAAAAAAGAGTTGACATTTTAGGGTGACATGCCCTAGGCTAAGTATTTTCCATGCCTTATTTTTATGTAATTACATTCAACAAAAGAACTCAAGCTCCTGACCACTTATCTATCCTGCTAATTTGTGCCTTGATTTCTCTATTATATTGAATAAGCTTATTTAACCTTCTTAGGCAATTAAAATGGATTACATTATTAATTAAAATGGACTACATTAACATTTTTCTCATGCTCCTCGTTTCTCAGTGTACTTTTCTCACACAGACAGGCTCAACTTCTGTAAATTAAACTTTCTGACCGCCAGCCCTTTGTGTATCATACATTGGTACCCCCAGCCTGACACACGACCATTTCTGGTTACTGCTGATGGTGCTACTTAACAGCCAATAGTTACAAGCATTGCAGCTATATATTGAATCTGAAAGGTTAAAATAATCATGAACTGAATAATCTTTTATAGCTCTCTGGGAATGGAAACTACCTTTATTTAATTAATTAATTTATTTATTTTGAGACAAAGTTTCACTCTTGTTGCCCAGGCTGGAGTGCAATGGCATAATCTCGGCTCACTGCAACCTCCGCCTCCCGGGTTCAAGCGATTCTCCTGCCTCAGCCTTCTGAGTAGCTGGGATTACAGGTGCCCGAACCATGCATGCCCAATTTTTTGTATTTTTAATAGAGATGGGGTTTCAACATGTTGGCCAGGCTGGTGTCGAACTCCTGACCTCAGGTGATCCACCCACCTTGACCTCCGAAATTACTGAGATTACAGGCATGAGCTACCACGCCCGGTCAGAAACTAGCTTTAAATAAGAGAGTTGTGTATTTATTTTCCACATATTTAATTTTGGTACTTGGTTGGTACTTATTTGGAAATGAGAGAATGCCCAAACATTACCTCAATTCTTCTTACCACCAATACTGTGATGTAGATATTATTTATATTCCCATTTTCTCCTTCTCCTTCTTCCCCTCCTCCTCCTCCTCCTCTTCCTCTTCCTCCTCCTTCTTCTTTTTTTAAAGAGACAAGGTCTTACTCTGTTGCCCAGGCTGGAGTGCAGTGGTACAATCATAGCTCACTGTAACCTCAAACTCCTGGGCTCAAGTGATCCTCCTGCCTCAGCCTCCCAAAGAGCTAGGACTGCAGGCATGCACCACCACGCCTGGCTAATTTTTAACTATTTTGTAGTGTGTTTCTCAGGCTAGTCTTGAACTCCTGGCCCCAAATGATCCTTCCACCTAAACCTCACAGTGCACTGGGATTACAGGTGTGCGGCACTGAGCCCTAGCCTATGGTTCCATTTTCAAGTGAGAAAATTGAAGCTCACAGAGGTTAATTGTCCAAGGTAGCAAGGATGCAGTTGGAATTTGGGTTCCCAGCATCCAATTTTACTTTTTCTTTAAACTGACACCGTTGAATAAGGTAGCCACTAACCACATACAGCTGCTTAAATTTGAATTTTAATTACTTTAAAATTAATTAATTAAAATTTAAAACTCAGGTCTCAGTCACACAAGCCACATTTTTTTTTTTTTTTTTTTTTTTTTTGAGACAGAGCCTCACTCTGTAACCCAGGCTGGAGAGCAATGGCATAGTGTTGACTCCTGGGTTCAAGCGATTCTCTTGCCTCAGTCTCCCAAGAACCTGGGATTGCAGGCGCCCACCACTACACCCAGCTAATTTTTGTATTTTTAGTAGAGCCTGGGTTTCACCGTGTTGGCCAGGCTGGTCTTGAACTGCCTGACTTCACATGATTCGCCTGCCTTGGCCTCCCAAAGTGCTGGGATTAACAGGCGTGAGCCACCGCACTAGCCACATTTTAAGTATTCAATAGTTACATGTGGCTCGTGACTATTCTATCTGGACAACACAGATATAAAATATTCCATCATTGCAGAAAATTATATTGACTAACACTGCTTTAAACCATAATGTCTCTTTTAGATATGTTAAGACATGTTCTCAGAATATATTGCAGTTCTGTTACAAATAATATGGATTTTAAATTTTACAGTAAAATCTCATTCATCTGAAGCCCCCTCATTTGCATAGCACCAAGCTAACTTTGATCTACAAATTAATAATATAGATAAGAGTTAAGAAGATGGTTAAATGCACTTCAGAGACCAAAGATTTTTAAGCACCATCAAATAACTCCAGAAGCACTCACTTAGATGCAAGCAATTGATATGATAATTACACATCATTTTTATTTATTCATTAAAACAGGGATCCCCTAAGGTGCCCTCGTAGGAAATAATATGGCTAGCCTAGTTATTTCTAGCAACCCTTCTGCTATTTCAAAATTCTATGCAAAATCATTTTATACTACTGGTTTACCTTTCTCCCTGCCTTTGGGTCACAATGTAAAATGGTAGCATAAAATACTTTCACCCTGAAACTTTGTTTGAAGATCTAATTCCAAAGCCCTCGCTTCTTCCACTATATTGTGTGATTCCCTGGAAGAGGTACTCCTGTGGGCCCTGGATGGGGCCTGGTATACAGTAAGGGTTCAATAAATAAATATCTCTTGGTTGACTGACAGGGACAGTTCTTTCAAGATACCATTCATTGAGTTGGACTCCGATTTTCTACAGAGAACACATGTATCAAATGGAAAACTGACTTCCAGTTTTTTTCTTTCCTCTTTACCAGTCTTTGCTGCCAAGTCTTCATGGAGAGATAAGGGCTTCCTGTTTGTGAGACAGAGATGATTCCCAGGCATTCAGACGGGGGGAGGGGGAGTGTGAGCTGGCCAGAGGCTTTGGAAACTAAATCTTCCTGTTCCTTCAGAAGTGAGAGCAGAGCGGCAAATATGCTGCCTTCCCGGTCACCAGTCATCAGTTAGCTC